ATGAAATGATTAGAAATTCCTCGTTTCTAAAAATGAAATCAGAAAAAGAAAAATGAAATGATTAGAAACTCCTCATTTCTAAAAATGAAATGAGAAAAAGAAAAATGAAATGAACACAAATTCCTCCTTTCTAAAAATGAAACGAGTCGAGTATCGTTATCAGTGTGAATTAGGGGCGAATTCCAGATATTGGTATCAGAGCAGACTGTTCGCAGGCAGGTCAGCAGCTGGCAGGAATAATCGTCGGAGCTATCCAGACATCGAGCACCGTCTGTTCTCACGAGTCATCGGGGTCCCATGATTTCAAAGGCAAGCAGCGGCCACCTTGGCTCGGCTGTTGAGCGTGTAACGCCAATAAACGTAACACGACGTAGATGAAACGCCACCCTCGCGGAACTCGAACGGAGCGGTACACACGCGTGCAGATTCACCTGCAATATAGCACGGTTCACGCATTGCCTCGCTGGGAGTAGTGCACGCGTCGCAGTCGCGCATCTCGTTCTCCTCGTCGCTCCTCTCGGAGTTTCCTGGTCCCTAGCCCAGACCGTTGCCTCGTACCTCTTCCATCGGGACCGGTGTACGCGCGTACATAAGCAAACCTGTTGTTACCGCTCCTCCCCGCCATTATCTCTCTCACGCATCGGCGCCGATTTTTATAAGCGAGGTGATTCACGAGGCAAGTTCATCAAGCCTCCTTCCTTTACCCTCCTACCTTGGGCACACGGCGAGCGAGCTTTCGCGGGAATTAGAGAGAACGAGTCTTCTCTATTTGTATCTGCGCTCTGGGCCTCCGGGTGTTCGGGGTTAGGGAACGGAAATGGGACGAAGAGACACCGAGGACCAAGTTTTGTGCGAGGAAAATTGTTACCGCGAGTAATTACGAGAGAAAATCTGATACGAGAGTCCATTGATCTTCGCGGACGTCGAGAACTAGAGGAGCATATTGGGAAACCTATTGCAAAATAAAACGTAATGCTTGTTAGCGGAGATAATTAATGTCTCGCGTCGTTTTTACACCTGTTACTACGGCGAGCATATGTAAAGCGCATTGCGAAGTCCCATAGAAAATAAACCTCGATATGAATAAATGTCGTGTGTTTTTGTGTCACCGCTCTACACTCCGTCGATGAATAATTCAAACGAGACATAAACTTATCGATTGGTTATTCACGAATGCTTAATTAATCGCCGCGCTTATCTAGGCTTTTGCGTTATGTCCCATTCAAATGGCTTCTTGAAATTCAATTAAGATAGACGTATTTGTTTTTGCTTAACGGAAAAGACGAGGAGCCAGCAACCGAGAGTGATGGCATTTTACAGAATACTGATCGCGGAGTTACGTACGGAGAAATTGCGACGAAGGAAAAGAAGAGGAGGAGCAAAGAACGAGTGGGAGGACGAGAAAGATACGGTATCGTTATCGTTACACTTAAATCTAATACGGATGAAATTCCAAGGCGCGCGTACAAATGGACGCCAGCACGAGGACGTCCGCGGCTTCCTGCTCCGGCGTTCCGATCAACGGCGACGATCAGCTGTTACCTGGCCCACCCACACATCCACGTGTGCACCTGAACCTGCGACGAGTCTACCCAACGCTCCCGTTCGTCCGCAACCAGTTCACCCTGCAACGCGTAATCAAACCACCTCTTTTTGCTAGAATTATTACATCCTTGCTACGTGCCCATCAGCGTCGTGGATCTTTTGATGACTCGTTGCTGGCAAAAATTGTCTTTAATGGACGACGATGCGATGTCGTACATGAACGCTTGGAGAATGCTATTTCTACGGCATTGAAATCACCAAAAGCGCTGGTGTTCTCGTTTAAAGCGATAGAACCAATGGACCTAATCAGAGCGGAATGGAACCAGTATTTGCTTTGGACGAATTGAATCAGAGTTTTCTATGGGTTAGAATCCAAAATGGGGACATAAAGAGAAACTTTATTTCACATTTAAATGTGGAATCCCAAAATAATCTCAACAGGAAAAAATTGTTCATATGAAAATAAGAAGTATAAGCATATATTTTATAACGTACGTGCATGCTATTGCAAATGCGGTTATGAGCAAGAATATTTCGGAATGAATCATAAATTCAAGCAGTGAATCGATATGAGGACGACAGCTGTCATTTTGTACCGAATGAATCATCCGCTATGGTCATCCAAAGTGAAGACGTATAAATTCGGCTTTAGCGATACACGAACGTTGCGAATTGATTTAGAGTACAACTTCATACGTTGAAGCTTGATGCGATCGAGTTAGATACATCATTCACCGAGTAAATCCCAAAATTATGTTCTGAATGAAACATCGAGTACACTTGAAAGAAAGTAACACTTCCAGGAGGGAATGTTCGGAACTCATTGAACGAGGGTTGAAGAAAAACGTATAAATATTGTTGGATTATTTCGCTTTCATCGCTGTTAGAAAGGCGGTACCTTTTTAAAGGAGCACCGCTTTTAATGTGACAATATGTATGCCAGAGGAGCAACATAATAGAGTTCACCTAAATCACTGGTTATAATACACGGAGCCAGAACTGAAACGAGAACTGGGATTATAAAGACAATGACCCCGGCAACGAGCCAGATACGAACCGGCACGATAATTCAAAAGGACATCTAATTCATACGAGAAACTCGTTTTTATTCCCGGTATTGGGTTAGAGAAGTCGAGGGAATAAAAACGAGAACCGCTGCCGGACAAAGAATAAATTATTACGTTTCACAACTTCCGCCGCCATGGAATCGAAAACGTCTCACTTACCAGAGAACCTCGCTGCTATCCAGTTGGATCTATCCCGAAAAAACCTCTGGGGTCGAGGTCACCCCTATGTGACTGTCTTCGAATCAAGGAGAACACGAAAACCCGCATGCACCTACTCTTAGTCTACGCTGCTCCAAAATATTAAGCCCTCGTAGGATCGTGTTCCAAAATTCACACGTGGAGTTCATTAGCCGACACCTTTCTGTTTTTTGGAACGAAGGATATGTCAATCTATCTCCTTGGCATGCACGCACGAAATATTTCTCGTGCTTAACATTTTTGTCAAGGGAACTTTGCGAACTTGTGTCAAAAGGGTGCGTCATGGAGAACACCTGTGCTCTTAGGATCAGATGTATCAGATATACTCGTGTACAAACTTGAAGATAAAAGATCGATGGTTTGCGCTGAAATAGGAAAGGGGACGAAAATGTGGAGCAGGAAGAGGAGCCCTCCGGTAGCGAAAAGAACGCTCGAGTAAAAGAGGAGACTGGGCGTTCTTAAAGATGGCCGATCTCTTCGCGGCGCGGAATCAATATTGTTGGATTGCCTCGATAACGCCTCGTAAATATAATAAAGCCCTCGGAACCACTTCCCTCTCGGGTCGGCGTAGTCCGTCTAACAGAGATAATGGTCGAAGCCCTGGGCACCCGGTAGGCCTCGTCCACGGTAGAGGGGTTCCCGATGGAAGGGCCTGAAACCCCTCTACGCTATCGCGTGTCTCTCTCCTTCTCCTTCTCCTTCGGGCGCAACACGTCTCGGTCAGAGCTGGCGGGCAAAGCAACAACCGAGTCAGTGCGATTCAGCCCGAGCCGGCGAACGGTTCGCTCCTCGCCGTCGCGTCCTTTCAGAATCCGCTCGTCTTCGCGTTCTATCCGCCGTACTCCGTTCTACGAACTTCTTCTTCCACGACTGTGTGTGGTCCCCTGCCTCTTTCCACCGGACGTGCTTCCCCGCTGGAACGCGATAAAAACAGGTCGACCGTCGTTCGATCGAGACGATTCGGTGTGATAGTTCTCGAAAAGATTGGCCCGAAGAGTGTCGGAAGATTGAGACTCATCGTGGACGGTTGACTACCGTTTCGAAAGGTAGAACGCGAATCGCGGAAGGTCGCTAGCCAAGCTCCAGTCGGAGACTTCGACGACCGGTACGAGGATGTCGCGCGTCGCGGACCACCCTGACTGTCTGTGTCGTCACCGTGTGTAC